ATGTGTAAGAATCGAATTGGCAATGTCTCCATTCGAGCAGTATGCTTTTATAGTGCTTAATGAGTCTTTTGTTTGATCCTCAAATGTAGCCTCTTCCTTAGCCTTCCACTGTTCGAATAAGCCACAGCCACTCAGTTTGTTCTTTGAATGCTTCACCGTAGACTCAAATAAACAATCCATGCTGGCCACTAATTATGTACTCACATGGTCCATAAAAGAATTAACACTAACAACACTATTTTAATTTAAATCTAGTAAAGCCAATAAAATAGCCAATCGTGTAAATTTATTTTACACTTACATTATACATAATTATTGCATAAAAATACAAAAATTACCTCCAACTATGAACAGATAACTCAAAACAATTTTAAAATATTTATAACAATTCAAAATATTAAAATAATACCTAATTTAAAAAAAAAACACACAATGAAGAAGGAAGGTTGTGGTGGAGGCGGCGTTGGTAGAGTGGCGACGGTGGTGGACGGTGACGGTGGTATTAAGGAGGAGTTGAAGTAGAAATAAAAAGAAGGTGATGGTGGTAGCAAGGATGAGTGGTGGACGGTGACGGTGACGGTGGCCGTGAGGAGGAGAAGAAGAAGCAAGATGTGGTGGTGAGGAGGAGAAGAAGAGAGAAGAAGCTAAGAGAGAAGAACAAGAAGAAAGAAAATGAAATTTGACAGATCTTGTTAGAAAAATGGAGTGTTTGATGATAGGAAAGTGAGGAAACAGGATCTTCAGGCGTGTGATCACTTTCCTATAAGCTTTAAATCTCCCTTATATAAAGCAATAAGGTTCAAGATTTAATCTTATGGGATACAAGAAGATGATGAAATTCTTAAGTTGCTTGTTTAAGAACTTCCTGTTGAAATGCAGTACTGTGAAATATCTCAGTTTAATGCAAGTTTATTGCATGTCTATTTTTCAAACATTTCTCCAAGTATTTATAGATGTAAATACAGCAGTTTGGAGAAGTTACATGGAGGTTAATCATTTAAATTTAAAACTTAACTTCCATAAGATATATCTTATCTGATATATCAAACATGAGAAATATATATATGAATATTATATATATTCATATGATATGGACCTTCGTAGGTTCATGCACTGCATACAAAATAACAAAGTAAAATATATATTATATATATTTATTATTCAATGCATGTAGAAACCATGCAATGCAACATAATAAATAAATAATATATATTTATATTTTACATGCACGCAGACATTTTAAACCAACGTTAACTTTCATTGGCCGAAAGATGCCAATTTGCCAAATTAAACGAAAGATGCCAATTTGGCCGAAAGATCCCATATTAAACCATCGTAATCTTCACTTTGCCGAAAGTGAAGTCTAAAGGCTTCATTTGGCCTAAAACAATGCATGCTTTACACTAAACCAAAGTTTCGTGTAACCAACGAAGAGAACGAAAGTACATCTAATCGTTAAGCAATGCAATTATCAAACCCGAATCAATATGAGAACTTTCGGTTTCAATCAAACAAAAACATATTTCCCATTTTACTTTCTACCAAACTAAAATAATATTTATAACTCCACAACTCCAAATATTATTTAAGCTTTTCATGGTAGTTCATCTGAACCATTAACTCTCATTACTATATAAATCTCTAACATTCCTCCTCCATTTATATAGTAAAAATTAATACTGTACCAAGATAGATCCAAAACTCATGCATAAATGAAAGTGTCTTACAGATTGAACTTTCACATAGTATCATATGCGTTACATTAATTCGGATTGCAGTGATGGACGAACCTTGAATAACGTAGTCTCTTTGAAGAAACGTAGATACAATACACACAAGCTTTACAATTGCTACAACTCAAAATAACTTGACACTATTAAAGGCCATGTGCCCGTATCCATTCATAAGCATTTCCAAGCTAAACCCAAACTTGTTGAAGCGGCCACACTTCATGCTCACATAGGTTGATCTTTTAATTCATGCCCTGCATCAAGCATTTTTTCAAAAGATCAATTAAGAGTAAAACTCATCCCTACTACAATGCAGACCAAGTACTGACCTTAGGGATACTTTTTAATATAGTACTTGCCGCCAATAAATGAAGTAATCATCTACATTGAACTCAAGGCCTAACGTGATAACTTAGGTGTGAGTTGAGCTTTCCTTCACCTCTTGACTATCAACGGGTTTCAAACCTATCCCCTCTGATGTCTTTAAAACCATGTCCCTTGCCAAGGCTTTTGTAAACGGATCCGCTAGATTGAACCGGGACCGTACAAAGTCTAGTGCTACAACACCATTACTTAAGAGCTCTTTCACATAGCTATGTCGCAAGCCTATGTGTCTTGACTTGCCATTATAAACACTGTTATATGCTTTGGCCAGTGTAGTAGCACTGTCACAATGTACTAAAATAGGTGACATCGGTTTTGGCCAAACTGGAATTTCAAGAATTAAATTCCTTAGCCAATCAGCTTCTTTGCATGCTGCTGCCAATGCAATAAATTCAGATGCCATAGTTGAGTCTGAAATACAACTTTGCTATTTAGAAACCCAGGAGATAGCACCTCCTCCAAGCAGAAATACCCATCCACTGAGGAATAATCTTCCTCATTAGATATCCAACTAGCATCAGAATATCCTTCAAGGATGGAAATATCTTTTGAATATTTTAAACCATAATTAATGGTTTTATTCAGATATTTTAAAATTCTTTTTAATGTCATCCAATGTACTGCACTAGGATTACTATTGTATCTACTCAGTTTCCCTACCGCAAAAGCAATATCAGGCCGAGTAGTTGTCATTGCATACATAAGGCATCCTATCACTTTAGAATACTCCAATTCTAAGACCGGATCACTTTCATTAGGAATTAACTTCAATGAAGGATCCATTGGAGTAGAAACTGGGGAACCACTAAAGTGATTAAATCTTTTTAACACTTTCTCAATGTAATGAGATTGTGTTAAACTTACACCATCCTGAAGTTTAATTATTCTTATCCCAAGAATAACTTCTGCTTCTCCTAAATCTCCTAAATCTTTCATGGAAAAACTGGAACTAAGAAAATCCTTAGTTTCCTTAACCTTTTTCCAAATCAGTACCAAAAATCAACATGTCATCTACATATAAGCAAATAATAACCCCTTGTCCTTGGTTATTAAATTTGCTGTAGATGCATTTATCTGACTGATTTATTCTGTACCCATTAGCTAGCACCACTTGATCAAACCGATCATGCCATTGCTTAGGGGCTTGTTTTAAGCCATAAAGTGACTTAATCAATTTGCAAACTTTATTTTCTTGGCCTGCAACCACAAAACCTTCTGGTTGCTTCATGTAAACCTCCTCCTCCAATTCACCGTTTAAAAATGCAGTCTTAACATCCATTTGGTGAACCACTAGATTGTGTATAGCCGAAATGGCAATTAACAATCTAATAGTAGCAATTCTTGCTACTGGAGCATAAGTGTCAAAGAAGTCAACTCCTTCTTTCTGCTTAAAGCCCTGTGCGACAAGCTTGGCTTTAAATTTATCAATGGTACCGTCAACTTTCATTTTCTTTTTGAAAATCCACTTGCAGCCTATTGGTTTACAACCATTTGGTGGATTAGTTAAAATCCACGTATTATTCCCCATTATAGAATCCATCTCATCATTTATTGCTTCTTTCTAGAAAGCAACATCTTGAGAATTCATGCCTTCCTCAAAAGTATTAGGATCATCCTCTATATTAAAATAATATAGATTTTTAGTCTCTGTAGACTCCCTTGATCCTTCTATCAAGTACATTTGGAAATCTGGTCCAAATGTCTTTTCCTTTCTTGTTCTTTTACTTTTTCTAAGCTCAGGTTCCTGTGAACTTGCATGATCATGAATTTGATTATCAACTTTGGTCCCACTAGAACTAGGAATTAAATCCTTAGTTCTATTTATTGATGAAAAACGATTTTCATCAAAAATAGCATCTCGGGACTCTATTACGGTATGAACCGAAATAAAGTCATTTGGTTCTATAACATAGAACCTGTATGCTTTGCTGTGTTCTGCATATCCTATAAAAATACAGTCTATGCCTTTTTCTCCTAGAGCCTTCCGTTTAGGTTCCGGCAACCGTACCACGGCCCTGTAACCCCAAACTTTCAAATAATTTAAGTTTGGTTTTCTTTTGTGCCAAAGTTCATATGGAGTTACCCTATTTCTTTTGTTAGGAACTCTGTTGAGAATATAACATGCAGTTAGCATGGCTTCTCCCCAGAAACCTTCACTCAGATTGGAAACTAATAACATGCAGTTTACCATTTCTTTGAGTACTCTATTTTTCCTTTCTGCTACACCATTTTGTTGTGGTGTATAAGGAGCTGTGGTCTCATGAATGATACCAACAGATTGGAAAAATAATGGGTCATAATATTCACCACCTCTGTCAGTACGTAATATTTTTACTAACTGACTAGTTTGAAATTCCACCTCCAATTTAAATATTTTAAAATTTTCTAAGGCTTCATCCTTAGAATGCAGGAGGTACACATAGCAGAGTCTTGAATAGTCATCAATGAATGTGACTATATATTTTTTATTTCCCAAAGATGGGGTGCTATGAAAATCACACAAGTCACTGTGAATTAATTCAAGTAAAATTGAATTCCTTTTTATACTAGGAAAAGGATTCCTAGTTATTTTATTCAACATGCATGCACTGCATTGTTCCATATTCAGATCAAAGGATGGAATTAATCCATCTTTAGCCATCTCACATACACGTTTATGGTTCACATGACATAAACGAAAATGCCATAATGAAGATGTACAAACTGAATACACAGAACCAACAATATTATTAATATTCAACTTAAACATATTGTTAGACAGAAATCCTTGGCCTACAATGATACCGGCCTTGGATAAAATAAATCTGTCTGCTTCAAAAACAAGTTTAAAACCACACTTGTTTAATACAATGCCAGAAACTAAATTTTTTCTAACATCTGGGGCATGATATACATCTGTGAGTGTCAACTTCTTTCCTGAAGTAAGCAACAACTCAACTTGTCCAATGCCTTTGACTTTCACCATGGAATCATTTCCCATGTACAGGCTTGGACCATCATTCAGACTTTTATAAATCTTATAAAGATTTATATCCTTGCAGACATGTCTGGTTGCCCCAGTGTCAACCCACCACGAGTCATCAGTCTGCATGACACAAATTTCAGATATCATAGCAATGAAATTTTCAGTACTATCAGAAACAAGATTAATTATTTTACCTTGTTTCCATTGGCCACTTCCCTTGGCCATGATCACCAGAATTTTTACCTTCCATTTGTGCCTTTCTTTTCTTCCAAATTTCACAGTCTTTTTTAAAGTGTGGACCGTTGCACACCCAGCATGAAACAGATGCTTTTCCTTTTCCTTTTCCTTTATTCTTAAACTTTGAAGAATTTGTGGTCTTTCCTGGCTTCCCTTTTCCTTTACGGTTCCCACTTGATTTGCCTTCATCAACATTGTTGATGACAGAACCTGAAGCCCCGGTGACCTTTGCATTACCAGCATTCTTGCTTTCTTGCAGTCTGATTCCCTCCTCAACTCGAAGGTCAACCCCCAACTGTTCCATAGTAAGAACTTCCTTTTTATGCTTTAAGGTACGTTGTACCTTTTTCCAGGAAGGGGGCAACTTATCAATGATACTGGCTATGGCAATGGAATCATCCATATGCATATCATGTTGCCTCATTTGCCCAAGTATCCTGACAATCTCATGGAATTGTTCCATGACCGGACGATTGTCCACCATTTTATAATCATTGAATTCACTTACCAGGAATTTCTTACTGGAGGCATCCTCAGATATGTACTTTGCTTCAAGTACATCCCAGAGGTCCTTTGAGGATTCGTCATACTGATAAATATCAAAGAGGGTGTCAGACATACCGTTCAGAATATGGCCGCGGCAAGCAAGGTCATCATTCTCCCATTTGAGTCTCCGGCGAGTAGCCTCAAGAGTCTCATCCTCCCGTTCCTCCGGCTTTGGGGTACTTAGTACGTATGCCACGTTCAGAGCCGCAAGGAGGAACTTCATCTTCTTCTGCCACCTACGGAAGCCCACGCCTTCAAACTGCTCCAACTTAGGGAAGTTGGTTGCAAAGTCCAGAAGTCCAGAACTCATCCTTCCTCAGAAACAGAATTTTAAAGCTTATAAATTGTTAGAAAAATGGAGTGTTTGATGATAGGGAAGTGAGGAAACAGGATCTTCAGGCGTGTGATCACTTTCCTATAAGCTTTAAATCTCCCTTATATAAAGCAACAAGGTTCAAGATTTAATCTTATGGGATACAAGAAGATGATGAAATTGTTAAGTTGCTTGTTTAAGAACTTCCTGTTGAAATGCAGTACTGTGAAATATCTCAGTTTAATGCAAGTTTATTGCATGTCTATTTTTCAGACATTTCTCCAAGTATTTATAGATGTAAATACAGCAGTTTGGAGAAGTTACATGGAGGTTAATCATTTAAATTTAAAACTTAACTTCCATAAGATATATCTTATCTGATATATCAAACATGAGAAATATATATATGAATATTATATATATTCATATGATATGGACCTTCGTAGGTTCATGCACTGCATACAAAATAACAAAGTAAAATATATATTATATATATTTATTATTCAATGCATGTAGAAACCATGCAATGCAACATAATAAATAAATAATATATATTTATATTTTACATGCACGCAGACATTTTAAACCAACGTTAACTTTCATTGGCCGAAAGATGCCAATTTGCCAAATTAAACGAAAGATGCCAATTTGGCCGAAAGATCCCATATTAAACCATCGTAATCTTCACTTTGCCGAAAGTGAAGTCTAAAGGCTTCATTTGGCCGAAAACAATGCATGCTTTACACTAAACCAAAGTTTCGTGTAACCAACGAAGAGAACGAAAGTACATCTAATCGTTAAGCAATGCAATTATCAAACCCGAATCAATATGAGAACTTTCGGTTTCAATCAAACAAAAACATATTTCCCATTTTACTTTCTACCAAACTAAAATAATATTTATAACTCCACAACTCCAAATATTATTTAAGCTTTTCATGGTAGTTCATCTGAACCATTAACTCTCATTACTATATAAATCTTTAACAGATCTGCTAGATAAAAAACGGATATATACGACCATGGGTGGGAAGGGGAGGAGAATGTAAGAGTGATTAGGAAAGAGAATGTGGGAAGGGGAGGAAACAAAAAAATCAAAAATGGCGTTGAATGCGCCCCGCGTGGCGGTTGCTGTGCGCGAAACGCACGCATCAAGTGCTGTCATCATTCACATTTGTTTCTCTTTGTTGGTGTGGCAGTTGTTGTGTGCGAAACGCACACAGCAAGTGCTGTCTTCACATTTATTTCTCTTCCTTGGGAAGAGAAATAAATCATCATTTGCAAAAAAAATAAATAAATAAATAAATAAATAACCACTCTCTCTCTTCACCTCACTCCTCCAACATGGCATTTGCACCTCAAAAGTACAGTTGTCAAATAACTCCTCATTCTTTTCTATAGTGGATGCTCTTAAAGACTTTGCCTTGGCAAATGAGCCAAGTTTGGTCCCACTTACTATTAGATTTGCTCAATCGCAAAATTATTTAAGGAAAATACTTTGTGTACTCCCATTTTAAACTCCCAACTTGTACTCCCTCTCACATGGTCTTGATGTAGACATTTTCCTCTGGACCCACATGATAGAAAATAACCAATCATGGTTTGCCACCTCAAGGAGTTAGGAGGGAGTAGAATTTTGAGAGTCTATGTAGTAGAACTCATTATTTAATGGTTTTAAAGAATATATACAAATTTTCAATTACTCCTTCAAGAATATATACATTTGATTGGCACTATAAACTTTCTCATATATGTATGAGTTGTACTTTAAAAAATATAGTAATACACATTAATTAAATGACCATAAAAATTTTCTCGTATATGTTATTATTATTATTATTATTATTATTATTATTATTATTATTATTATTATTATTATTATTATTATATAGACACAGACACATTTAGAATATTTCTATATAGATTTGTGCTACAACTATGCACAAATAATAATACAACAATCTTGATTAAATATTTGTAGATTTATTTACATAAAATCAACACAAAAGAACGCACATAAACAAAATCTAGAAAAAAAAAAAAAAAAAAAAAAAAAGAGAGAGAAAAACTTGAATTTTGGTATACAAACCAATTTATATGAGTAACTCTTGGTGTAAAAAAACTAATAAAAGTTAATACTTCTCTTTTGTGTCATTTTCACGTTGCAAAACCCTTTTAACGTTACTTATTTTGCGTAATAGTTTTGGACTACGTAGTAAATAAATGACACGACTTCAATTTTAGAAATCTTGTGTATTATGCCATTTAAGAAATAATGAAATGACGTGAAGTTTTTGAAAAAAAAAAAACCGACATCTTTTATTTATTCATTTTTTTAACAAAAAATTGTGAAACGATATCAGTTTCTTCTCATTTCACTTTTTAAAAAAATAAATAAGAAATGGCGTTAATTTTTTTTTTTTTAAATAATCCACGTCATGTCTCCTTATTATTTTGTTTTTTTTTTAAGATACGATGTTGATTTTTTTTTAAAAAAAAAAAAAAACAATATTGTATCTCTTTATTAAAAAATAAAAAATAAAAGTAGATACGCTGTCCGTTTTTAAGACAAAAGGACATCGTATCTGTTATTTAAATTTTTAAAAATATAAATTTAAGGGTCAAACTTGTCTAAGACCATCACGGATCCTTATAACTTATAAGTATTGCAATTTCCCTTATAATATGTAATGTTGACAAGTATTTGTTTCTTATTAATAATGTTTTTCTTTTTTTTTTTAATTCTATTTCTTAATTTATTTCATTCAATTCAGTTCACTCCCCTGTAACGTTAGTGTAGCTTTGAGAGCACAAATTGTTCTCTCAAAATCTATAACTCCAGAAATCAATTTATACCCTAATTGCTTAACAACTTTGATTTGACGATAACATCCTTAGATTTAACACTAATTTAACAGAAATCTTAACGGATCGCAGGACTATATGTGGTCAGAAATGAAAGTCAAAATATGTGTTTTTGGTTGAATTGAAAGTTGAGGACTAAAAAAAAGTACTACCCCAATAGTCAAAGGACTATTTGTGGTATTAACTCTTAATTGAATCATCTCTTATTATTTGTATAAGACATGAAATGGGATGAAAAAACATATTAACAACAATAACAACAATTATGATAATGATGATGTATGACACAACAAGGGATAAAAATTGAAAATTCAAGACTGAGAATAAACCATAACGGAAGTTGATATAGACTATTATTATCCGGTAGGTAATACAAGTGGATAAGGGAGAAGTATGTCGATCCGACCAAAAAAATGTCAACATGAGATCACCTCACATCCAATGAAGATTCTAAGATGAGTTCGCGTGGGGCATAGTGTAGTCCCTACTTATTTTCAATCTCTATTATATATGTATGTATTACAATTGTCAAATGGTTTAGAGATAAATATACAAAATTCAATGTTTACTTTTGAGGAAAAATAATTTTTGACATCAAGTACCTTATGGCATATCATGTTGAGCAGTCAAAAAATATTATGAGTCTGACTCGGCTTTAACGTGTTAAGTTTATACATGTCGTTTTTCTTAACACTAGTATTTGCATCCATGCGATGCACGGAATGGATTCGTTGTAATATATTAATAATATATGAATCAATATATAATTATTTAAATTAGAACATCAAATATTATATAGTAAAATTGAAGGTATGGTTTGGACTCTTTGTGTTTTTATGTTATCATTACTTGAATTTGTGCAAATATTTGCTCAAATTAATAGCTAATGTGTAGATGTACGCATGCAATGTTGTTGCTTTGGAGATGTTATTTATCATTGTTCAGTATTTTTATAAATTAGGCAAATGTGCTCGTTCTTTAGCAACTCAGTTATAAGAATGAATTGATATCCTAATTCATTTAATTTGTATGAAAAATTTATTTTTTGTCTAGATATATAGCAATTTTACCATTAAAATGAAAACATAATATCACCGATTGTATTTACACATTATTGAAACATCTTTGTAGACAACGTTGGTAATAGCAACACAAACTTGTCCATCTTCGTCTAGAGCTAACACCTTCAGTCCATCAGGATTGGTGACTCGGGTGAAAATATATAATGGTAGAATATCAGTCAATTAGTGAATATTTTATATTTTCAGTCAATTAGTAATATCAGATTTATTTTCAGCTAATTATTCTTTTTTTTTCAGTCAATTAGACTATTAGATGCAGTGATATTTTTACCAAATTTTCGTTCCATTTTTAATGAATGATGTATAATATTTTTATTGAAATATTTCCGTTATATTTTTAATTTACCTTTATATTGTTTAAAATTTAAAGTATGCATTTCTTATTGATCATGTAGAATATTATTGAAATATTTCCGTCTAATTTTTAATTTTTGTTCATTTTATAATTAAAATGCAATGATCTTGACAATTTCTTTTTTCATTCAAGTCAATTAGTCAATTACTCAATTAGAAATATTATTGTTACCAATTAAGCTTTATTAATTTTTGACTATTTTATTAATATTCATATTAATTTGGGCGGGAATGTTGAAAAGGAGGATTTTACTTTTATTAATAGTATAGATAGATTAATTTCATTTTGAAATCATTGGTTCACATATTTGAATTATTAATTTTTTTCATTAATTATTCGCATGGTAAACATAAATAATATTGCAATAATTAATTTATGATATTTATCAAATTGTAGCTTTTTTAAAAATATAAAATTTTCACATGTTTATGGGTTGAAAAATTTTTAAATTTTTTTTATTTTTAAAATATTTTTCAGCAACCCAAACACTTCATTAATCGCCCATCAGAAACTAATAAAGAAAAATCATTTTAGTAAGGAAATTAAAACTAATTAAATTAACTCTACCTATTAATTGTCTTAATAATAATTAAGATAATTTTTAGTCAATCAATATTCAATAGTACTAAAAGTATTAATTTGAATTTTTATAAATATGATATAATATTATTAAACCGAAATAATTAAAAATATGTGTCTATAGTAC